GGGCGGGAGACCCGAGGGGGCGACAGGAGTGGGCGGGACACGGGGCCGCGGAGGTGGGGACACATCGTCCCCGGGATCCTGCGTCCCCACCGGGAGGTCCCCTCGCTTTCCCCCCGCGGAGGCCGTTCCCTCCCGACCCCGCACTCACCCGCCCGGGTCCCCGTCAGGCCCAGGGCCCCCGAGAGCAGCAGGAGGAGGGTTCCGGGGCCCATGATGTCCCGGGGTCTGGGGACGATCTGCGTGCAGGCCGGTCAGTGGAGACTTTATAACCGGAGTGAGAACTGGGGCCGCGTCATGAATTTCCAGACAGAAGGATCCGACGCAGGTTGTGAGAAGGGGAAGTGAAACCGCGGGGAGGTGGGGACTCCCCAACACTGAGCTTCCCGCCAGGGACTCCGCCCTCAGGACCTGGGACTGTGCCCTGACCCCTCCTCCTGCACCGAGCCTGTGTCACGCTGTCTCCTGAGTCCTGGCCCAGGGGCTGTCTGAGGAAACCAGGCTGGGCTCAGCCCCTTTCCCTCCTCTTCTCTCCCAGGAATCCCTCTCCCTGAAATGGACGCCCTGCCTCCCACCCGTTACCTCTCCCCCTGGACTCTTCTGGAAGAAGACACCCCAGGGAACTTGGTGCCAGAGTGAGCTCGCCCTGGGACTAGAGGAAGGACAGGGCTTTTCTCTTTAATCCTGGATAAGCTGTGCCTGAAAACATCACTTAGAGATTCTCACAGAGCCCAGTCTCCTCATTGTTTATTATCTACAGTGGGTGACAATCTTGGAAACCCCTGATCATCAGTAAGCTAATCTGTAAAATCGAGGTTTGGGCTCCTTGGTACAGAAATGTGTCTAAATAGCACTAAAGTTAGACTCTCAAAGCTCCTAAATCTTACTTTCCCAGACGGTACACATGTGACTCTGGATGTTTCTATTGTAAAATGATGTACACATGTGACTCTGGATGTTTCTATTGTAAAATGATCTTCATTCCGCAGCCCTGACTTTCTTTGTTGAGTCCCTGCATCCTTATTACAAAGTAACACATGGAAGCAGTTTGTTTCTATGTATTTCCAACCGGACCATGTACAACGTCAAAGTTGCAGGTGCTCAATGCAGTTAAAATGCCCTTTACCAGTCTTCCTATATGGCCATTTTTATGAATAATTTACATATAAGCAGTGTGTATATTTTATTGGGAGACATTATTATTCTTAAGCTGATTAGCATCAGAAGGGGATTAGTTTTTAGGCAGCTCCACATAACACCCTGTTAGGCTAGAGGTAATTTATTAAAGATCTATGAAACAGCATATTTAAATCAGAGAGTTCCACTGCTTTAGAATTCTTCACCTTTCCCTCCCCCCTGCTTCTCCAGCCCTTCTCTGTCTCTCTCACCCCTCAGGCCCACTTCTCCTCTTAGTCCCCACCACCCTCTCACTCCTGATTGTGGCACGAGTGCCACCCCTCACCTGCCAGCCAAGGACTATTCTCCCCACAGGGATCAGTGAGTGATCCTGCTAATGTGAGTCAGGGTGTGTCATTTCTTCATGAAAAACACTCCAGTGGCTCCCTCTCACTCTGGGAAGCTTCTAGAATATCAGGCACATGAGCACAGAGATTTTGGCTACTTAGGTCAAAGTATCCCAGGCATCTGAAGCCATTTCTGATAGAGTGGGCATTAAATTATTTGTTCAGTGAATGAATGAATTAAAATTTATAGCATGTAAAACCATAACCTGAAAAATACAAAAAAAGTTAGAAAATATTTTGTTACATACTAGTGTGTATATCAGTTTATAAATTCATTCCAGTGGAAAGAATGCTGTATGCTTATTTGTTGCACAGTTGAGCCTGTGTATTAGTTTTCTATTGCTGCGTAACGAATTACAACAATTTAGTGGCTCAAAATAACACCCACTTATTTGCTCTCAATTCCTTAGTCAGAAATCCAGGCTCAGTGTGGATGGGTTCTCTGGTCAGGGTGTCACAAAGCTGTGTGCTCATCCTGAGCTCAAGATTTTCCTCCAAGCTTACATGGAGCTGTTAGCAGAATTCAGTTTTTTCCAGTTGTAGGTCTGATGTTCCTGTTTTCTTGACAACTATCAGCGAGGAGCCCTGGGAGGAATGCCCCCAACACCTAGTGTCCACCAGCAGTCTTTGCCATGTGGCCTTTCATTTTCAAAGCCCCCAGTGGAGAAATGCCTCACATTGAATCCCTCTCACTTGGAATCTTTGGGGTAAAGAGAAACCCCAGTCAGTACTCACCTGATTAGGATAATCCCATGGATAGTCCCCAGGTCTGAAGGTCAGCTGATGTGAGACCTTAGTTACCTCTGCAGAATCCCTTCCCAGAACCTATATTAATGTTTGATTGAATAACTGGGGGAAGGTGACTATCCAGGGTGGTTATTGGGGAACATCATAGAATCAGCCTAGGATGGCCTATTCTTTTTTTTTTCTTTAAAGATTTTTTTTTTACTGGGGAATTGGGGGGATGGGAACAATGCTGGGGTTTGGGGGAAGGGGAACAGACAAGTTGCTGTCGTTTTGTTCTTCAGTCTAGTTGTGGAGGACGTGGCTTCACTGGCCCAAGTTGGCACCATCATTGCGCTCTTCCCGGGCAAGGCAGATCACTCGCCAGCTTCTGGACGGCCACTCACTGTGGCTGCTTGGCCGCTCACGCTGGCTGCTGGCTACATACGGTAGCCCATGGCAACCCACTGCCACAGGGGCTGCAGCCTAACAGTCGCCAGCAACTCATGGCAGCCCAGCTCCAGGTTGAGCTGTTGTTCAGCATCTTAGCTATAGAGGGCAGTGTCACTGGCCCTCATATATGGGATCCAAACCAGGGCCCTCTGGCATCCCAAGCCAGTTCTTAACCATCGCATCACTTGGCCGGCCCTAGGATGGCCTATTTTTCCCTGTGTGTTTTTTTGGGTTGCAGTTGGAAATGAAGTTCAAGTAAATAGATTGCTGTGAATAATAATAAAATGCATCCTATTAGCCATGGAAATTCTTGAATCTTAAAACTAAATGACATGTTTAATATTTATACTTAATTTAGAGCAAATGAAAAAGTACAATAATTCATTCTCTCTTTGGATACTGTATTACTCATGTGTGGCAGCATAACAAATTACCCAAAACTTAGCAGCTCAAAGCAACAAATGTGTATTATCTTCCACTGTTTCCCAAGGTCAGGAATCCAGGAGAGGTTTTCCTGAGTGTTTCTGGCTCAGGGCCTCCTCTCAAGGTTGCAGTCAAGTTGTCAGCCAGGGCTATATCATCTGAAGGCTTGACTGGGGCTGGAGGACTCCATGAAACATGACACTCATAGGGCTGTTGGAAGGGGCCTCATTTCCTTCCTGGATGGTCCTAGGAGGCCTAAGTTTCTAGCCATGTGGACTTTGCCATAAGGTGGCTAATGTCTAGGTAGCTTCATCCCTAAAATCAAGTGATAGGGAAGAGAGACAGAGACAGAGAGAGAGAGAGAGAGAGAGAGAGAGAGAGAGAGAGAGAGAGAGAGAGAGAGAGAGAGGAGATAGAAAAACCAAGACAGAAGCTGCAGTGAGTTTTAGGTCTCAGGCTCAGAGTCACACCATTACATCAGCCTGATGAGAAGTGAGTCATTAAGTCCAGCCCACGTTCAAGAGAGAGGGAATTACTCCACCTCTGGAAAGGGGGAGTGTCAAAGAATATACATACACATAAAAATAAAAATTTCAATTAAATATTGTTTCAGGATTTTAGGGTTTTTTTGTTTGTGTCTTTTTTTTTAAAGGTTTTATTGGGGAATTGGGGGAGGGGAACAGCACTGGGGAATTGGGGGAAGGGGAACAGACAAGTTGCTGTTGTTTGAGGGCGCAGCCCACAGTGGCCCATGTGGGAATGAAACCAGCAACTTTGGTGTTACTAGCACCATGCTCTAACCAACTGAGCTAACTGGCCACCCCTGTTTCAGGATTTTATAATTGAAATGCTTCTTTTATTATTTTCCTTAATGCCTTAAATTTCATTTTTGGAATGTAACAATTAAAATTTGAGACAGAGAAAGGAGATACAATATTTGTAATTTTTTATTGCAGATGCCTTTATAACAATGTTTCCTACAATAACTGGCAACTAAGTTGAGAACATATAGTAGCTAGATCACATAGTTTAAAGACTCAGCACCATAACAATAATGCCTTTACAATAACTATCTTTGCTTTTCCTTAGATTTTTCAAATTTACTTCATTAAGAATGTCAAACATATTGGCTAAAATGCCAATTTTCTTACTTAACATCATCTTCAAAAATATTTGCCTAGGGGCCAGCCAAGTGGCTCATTGGTAAGAGTGTGAGCTCTGAACAACAGGGCTGCCAGTTCCATTCCCACATGCGCCAGTAAGCTGCGCCCTCTACAGCTAAGATTGTGAACAACAGCTCAACTTGGAGCTGGGCTATCGTGAGTGGCCAGCGACAATGAAGGCTGCAGTGAGCTGCTGTGGTCTACCGTTAGCCGCCATGAGCAGCCATCCTATGGCCAGCGACTGACTTCCTCAATCAGGAAGAACACAATGATCATAATACCAACATGGGACAATGAAGTGACATCCTCCACAACTAGACTTAAGAACAAAAGGACAACTTGGCTGTTCCCCTTCCCCAATTCCCCAACACTGTTCCTCTCCCCCAATTCCCCAATAAAAAAATCTTTAAAAAACCAATACTATTTGCCTAATAAAATCACTTTTCAAAATGGAAGAAAAGTGTGAATCTCATGCCTCAGCCTATACACCTAGCCTATATATCCTGACAACAATTTTGATATGATGCAGCAGGCAGCGATGGTTAACTCCAGTCTAGGGACAGAGTGTGCCCAAACTGGCTCTCTGGTTGGCATCCTAGAATAAATGACCCATCTTTCACTGTGTTTTTGAATGAGATTTTGTAGAAGTGATTTGGACACCGAGGTGACTCTAAAAAGCACTGTTGATATGTGCTGCTGAAATTTGGGTTAAAGAAGCTCTGTGGTATCTTCATTCACACTCTATTCTATCAATTCTTTCCCCTTTATAGCGTTTTCCAGTTTAACTTATATTGATCAATAATGTGCATTTCCACTTTGGTAAAAGTAGTTAATTCAGTTGTATGTGAGGTTAAATGTAATACATCAAATCCTTCACAGATAGAATTACCTTGCACATCACATTGACCTGTATCCCAGGAAATCTATAGAGATGCCAGTGATCACATGACCTAGTTCTAGCCAATGCCGTTTCCTGTGACACCACAGCCCTCTCTCTGACATGACTCATAACAATTGGTTGTGGCTTTGTTCC